TCAATGGTCTGTAACCGGTCAGTTGGCATTTCCGAATAAATAACTCCGCAGCGAAGCCCTTCTTCCTTTCACTGATAGGTTTTAGCGTAGCCTTACGTTTAGTTTGGTAGGCTGATCGCTTTAACATACCGTGGATACTTTAAGTCCGTTTTCTCAAGTTCTCCCTCTCAAGTGACCGAAATGATAGAAGGCAGGGCCGGTGTATTCGGCCGGCAAGCTTTGTGTGGACCGTTCAGAAGAGTGGCCCGTGTACTTTCCCCGCCGACTTGTTAAATGGCATTCTTATAGTTGATGAATCTTGTGATGTAGGTGTAATCACAGTCCATAACCGATACCAACGAAAAAATGTTCTGAAATTGTTAGCGAAAAGATTCCTCGCAAACCTCGTGTTCAGGTCCGCGAGTTTTTCTCAGCGGCATAAACATCCACCCGTCTATGCTTGGTTCCCAACCGCAACTCTCCCGGTTCTGGACCCGCACTGTTTAAACGTTAAAAAGCAAAATTCCTTCTACCTGCGAAATTTTAGCTTCAGAAGAGGGCCAAGGGATAACTGAAAAATTATGCGGCTACATTTATTTTCGATTCTAGCTTTCACGCCGTCATACATACATACATATCTAGAAAACCAAAAAGGTGAAGCATTTCGGAACCCATGCGTTGCGGAAAACTCCACGAGGACATGAATACTGCCTTCCTAACCTGAAGTTTATAGTCACCACAGGCTTCCCAGAAATCATACACATGCTTTACCAGCTTCGTCTTCTGAAGAAGTTCCATAACCGGAAAGTCTATCACTGTGTTTGTCGTGTCTGCTTACGCCGCAACCGACTGTAGTTATGATGTCATCGAAGGCAGTTTTTATTTTGCGGTGTGCTAAAATCTGACATCATGCCGGAAATTTGAATGCGCAACTAGACAGACTTCGCTTATCTGAGACTCATTCGGGTGGTAGGCTTGGATTGGACTCGGTACGCACGGACACTGGCGGACGGCTGCTTCAACTAATGCAATTCGCAAACGGTTTTTATGTAGTAATAACTTCCAAAAAACGACTGGTCATCTGAGATCAATCAACAGCCTGCTAACAGTTACTGATTGGGGGGATCAGTGACTCGTAAAGGTGGACGATTCGGTTGGCAACTGGAAGACTGGCAGATCCAAAATTTATCAGAACTTTCTTAAGGACTCCTCCAACTGCTCCGTCGTCGAATGTAGATTCGTGCTGAAACGAGATAGCCACATATTTCCACTACCGACTGTCGCCTCTGGCACGGCGCTACCGCGTGAGTTCAAGTAATGGATACCAGGGAGAGCAGTGTCACAGCTTGAATTTCAGATAGTTATCTTCGCCAGCCCCGAACAATTTAGGTCGACGAGTTATCAGACGTCGGTTAGAACTTGCCTTGCGCGCTGAGGTTGAATTCTCACGGACATGTATGGCGAAGAAAATGGAATAGGCGCAGGAATCCGAGAATGCCTAAAGATCCGCACAAGCGGTTCCGGGAGACCGCATGTGACCGAAACCATGAAGAATCAAAGTGCGCGGCCATCTTCAATAAAGATGGACTGCTTGATGGCCTGGTTGAACCCTACGAACATCAATTCTTACCCCGCTTCCGGCATTCCGTTGGATGACTGAAATCCAGTAGAACCGTGGACGGTGTACCTGAAATTCCCTGTGGCCTCGGAGTTTTACGAGTGCATATGTTCCCTTAAGCACCGCCGAGCCCCTGTTCCGGATGCCCTATCACCAGCATTTTACAACATAAGACCGAAGTCTAGTCAGCGCTCGTCTGCATATGGGAAAAGGAGATTGTCCCTGACTACATGGGAGAATCTGTGCTTATGCCCGGTGGTGAAACCGGCCCAGCAGTGAGTGCACCAGTCCCATGGAATCAGTCTGACTCCAGTCGGACGCTTATCATTCGTCACCTTATACTCATCTGTGAAGCATTTAATCGAGAGTGTCCTTGTACGGTCTACGTTGATCACCTGTTCAAATCACTTGAAGTGCTAGAGTAACGCCATACGTATGAACGACTCACAATTTTAGTATCTGTGGATTTTCAAGACTCACTGGACTCTCCTGGTAGGACTGTGCTTAACGTGCGCGCCCACTAAGGAGTGTCCTGGAAGTTTGAATTTGATATGTTCTTCAAATTATCAAAATTCAGCTTGTGACGGTTTTCGAAGAGCTCTCTTATAGCCTCCATTCCTGTGCGCGTGTTAAAAAGCAGCCAGATAGACAGGATATCGAGGATTTAACATTAACTTCGAGAAACCTGAGTCTATCCCCTTCCATTTTTTGATCGATTAGATAATGAGACGAACAGTGGAATGCTTTCAAAACCCTGGTGTTCAAATAGCTGCCGACGAAAGCGCTTTTGCCGTGGGATATGCAGACCTCTACTCTTTGAAGCGCAGAAGAAGACGCAGATGCTGTTGAATGAACTGGCCAAAGTTATCCCATCCTTCAGCATGCGCTTTGCATACACTGTAAGATCGTACTCCTGGACGTGTAGTCTGAACGCGTCACTTACAATCCAGGGAGAAGTTATAGGGCATTCTACGTATCCTTGAGGTTGTATAAGCTCCGACTGTAGTGTGACAAATGAGATCGGTTCACAGTTCACTAGGGCTCGGGTTGCGTTTGCCAGTACGAGTCAAACTTTTTGGCAAAGCAGCATATTCCTCATTCTTAAGGGACGTGAACCTGGCCACAATACGGACTGTTTTGTTGTGAAACGTGGCCTCTGCGAACAGCCGAAATGGGACGTATTCAGGTCTTCAATGAGGTTTGTCTCAGAAATATTGCTCGTGTAGGCTGGTGCTGACGATGTCGCAAAAATGAAATTAGGAAACGAGTGTTCGGTTGTGTAACGGCGGCTTCTATCGAAGAATGTGTCCAGTACCAAAAGCTGCGTTGGTCAGGCCATGTAATGCGTATGGGGAACCATCGTCTGCCGAAGAGAGTGCTGTTTTCCGTGTCCAATTCAGAGTGGCGAAAGCACAGAAGTGGCCAACCGTTGATCTTGAAGAGAGATATATAAGCGATTACGAAACGTTTGCAAGCTGTCGGTGCTGTTCGCTTTCCAGGATGGGATCCACATGCTCCCCCCAGTGCATGGTTGGAGGCGTTGCAAGGTATGGTCGCTATTCGGTTTCAGTGGCATTCCTCTTCTCGGTCTCTATCAAGACTGCGTGAAACCTTTTCTGCAGATGTGGGTATCTCGAATTGATTGTTGTAGGCTAGAACCAAGTCCTCACGCAATCTACTTTTATTCTTTTTTCAAAAAGTAATTTTCTTGTGGAGGCATTGGTTGTTCGGATGATCTTTATGTCTCATTGCTGGATTGGTGTTAAGTTTCCTACGACCTGTCGTTATTTCTGTTTGTTCCGTCAGTCTCTACCTGAAATTTCTGTGTTTGGAGATGTTGGATACTCAAATGATGTTTGCAAACTGGTATCCGACCCTTTCTCTTACTGTTGTGTTCATAGCAGTGATTTTTCCGAATTAATCGGCTTGACTCACGTTCATCGATACCAGTCGTATTGCGGACCCGCATCATGATGTGTTCTGACTTAATGAACGAGCGCCTTTATCCGCAATCCAGTAACACTCTCGACGCACCGTACAGTTGAACAAGTGTGTGTGCATCCAAGATGAGACGATTGCCAGTTCATTAGTTCCGATGCTACTGTCGAAGAGCTATTCCCAAGAAGAAAACAAAGTCACTTCATGCAGAATTACTTTCATCACAAGATGGAATGCTCTTCAAAAACAGAGCGATGTACTCACCCACGCTGATGGCTAGTATTTTTCAAACCATCACCATATCTGTAACATTGTTTTTGTCGAGATTAACGGTGACCTGAGGGATGTTCGGTGGACGTTTGCGAGATTCTGTTTGGATTTCTTCCCCAGCGTGCAAACAGGGGTGACTAACTAGTTAAGAATTAGTACCTATGCAAGCAACGGGGACCTGACTTTGGCAACATCCGTTGAAGCATGTAATTTGGACCCAACGAATAGAAGCGGCGGACAAGATAAATGACTCTTCAATTTACTTTCGAACGAACATATAAGCTCCTCAAACTGATGCTTCACCGCATTATAAACATGCTGTAATGATCCATCCTTCCTGGCTACGAATGCTGCCCGCTTTGTCCCACAGGTTACATTTATTTGCTTCCTCTTGGTTTCTGACTGAGTGCATCTTACCTTTCTTCAAAATCTAACAACGGTGAAAGAACTGGTGACGTTGAACAGAATTTTCTTGCTTAGATTTTTGTATTGGAACGGTCTCTGCTGCTGTTATGGCAGAGTTGACCAACTATATTGTGTCAACTAATTGCTCACTTGAGGCACCTACCAAACATATCGATTGATTCCTACGCGCGTCACATACTATTGATTATTTTAAATAAAGTCTACAACCGAGTGAGCTACCATCAAGATCCATCCCATCCATTGACAAGATGCCAGCAGTTATGCCAAGATTTACGGAGTATCTCCCCGAAGGAAAACTCAAAGAGTTACGGGATATAGCAAATGCAATTGTGGCCCCCGGAAAGGGCATTCTGGCCGCCGACGAAAGTGTTCGTAAGTAACTAGCTGTGACTAAGGATAAACTGTTTTTGCTTCTAAACAGCCACCCTAGGCAAACGATTGAAGGCCATAAATGTGGAAAATTCCGAAGAGAACAGACGTGCCTATCGACAACTTCTGTTCTCTGCCGATCCAGTGTTGGCCAAAAACATATCTGGTGTGATTCTCTATCACGAGACCTTGTACCAAAAAACCGATGACGGGATGCCACTCGTTCGTCTCCTTCAGGTAACATGAATACTGTGGTTTAATTGCCCTGCTAACTATCACCCCAAATTAAGTGCACAGCGTGTGATTCCCTATTAGCTTGTGCAGTTCTTAGTCTTGCAACCCAACCTATGGTGGGAAGCGCGCGGAATGTTCATGGTCTGTATGCAGTCAGTTACAATCTTCATAGAGCTGTTAGCCATAGGGCTGGTACACAATGTCGTTGTTTTGCATGGCATTCATCGATTGTCCAAGGTCGTAGCAGCCCAATTATCTAACACCAGTGCAGTTTTTAATGAGTTACACCTGTAACTGGAAAACCATACATAGTTTATTTTTTGCGTGGGATTTCAGCCTAAAATGAGTTTTTGCTACGCCTCTTGACTAGGTTCATTTATACGAATACAGCTGGGATGGATTTATCCTTGTAGTTAGGTTCTGACGCAGTGAGACTCGGTGTTAAATATCACCGCTGTAGTAACAGATTGATCTGCGTTTTGATCACTTCACCGTCTCTTTAAAGCGTTGGATGTATCTGGTTATAAAAACGCATCGGAGATCTAGGTACTTGTGATATGGGCCTGTTTCCCCCATGGCTCGCACTTCAATGGGCGCAGTGTAGATGTTTCACCTTGTAGCTGTGGGTTATCACCAGGACTCAGCTGATAGAGTGCGTGTTGTATATTGTAGCGATCGAAAAGAACTATTTTTATAAACGCGCCCAGTTGTTAAGTTTCACTGCTTGAAGATGAGTTATGCCTCGTAAATCCGCTCGATAAAATAACGACCTCCCGGAAATTACGGTTTTATGCCTGTTGACTTCTCACTTGGTTGACCTCACGCATCAAATTCCTTAGGAGTCTGACTATTCGACATAACAGCTCTTCCTAAATGAGGTGACAGTAAATTGCCCGTGTTACTTCGAATCGCTAGCCACTACTATTTTATAACTTTGTGGTTGTGCTTACAATCCTGCACTTAGGGATATCGAGTACCTCCAGCCTATGACCTTTGGTCGAGTTGCGTTTCGTCGGGAATTTGAATGTTGTGTTTAGCTACCAGTTTGGATTGACTGAGAACTCACAGGGAAAAGCTGAGTCCAGAGCCCGGAAAAGTAATTAAGCTGGAATGAGCCCCTGGAGCTACTGCGTTCAGGTGAATGAGCCGTAAACATTAATTGCTGTTCAGAAGAATGAATAACGTGGGGGATATCTGTTTCGAGACGCCAGGAGGCATCATTATCGTCATCCTCAAAAAACACGAACTTTGTGTGAAAATCTTCGTGACAGATATGGCATTCGTGGTATTCTGTGGTTTCATCCTTCTCCGGCTGAGTGATCACAGAGCGAGACAAATCTGTTAAAATCACACTTAGTTCCATCTTCCGAAAGCTTACGCAGATCGCATATTCGTTCTTCGACAGGTTCTGGAACAGCATCACTGCTTACATCAACCAACAGTGAAAATCTTCCATGACTTGAAAACTGTCTTCTACCCAATTTGGGTTCAAGTAGAAAATAAGGTTGATGGAAACTCGGGGACTGCGCCTCCCTGATGAGCCCCAAGAAGGGCGAAAGCGATCGTGGGCTGTCGAAGAGTTTTCAGCAAACTTGTGAGTAGTTTGTCTTCCATCCTGTTAATCATCAGACACTCTGCAATTGTCTGTAGTGCAAAGGTGTCCCCCATGACTTTGTAACCGTTCTTAAAGTGGTGTATTTCGAAGTTTTCATCCATATGATCATGAGAAACCAGCACGCGGCTTCTGATGCTGGTGGAGTCGAGATTCACTCAGGGTATTCGCTCACAGATAACGACATCTCTTACATACGGCCAATCGAGATTGAAACAATATTAAATAAACTAATTAATGCTGGGACACATACATTTATTTGCAAATCAATTTGGTTTTCATGGGAGACTCAAGTGAATCTCTCGTTTATGATGTTCTTCAACTGAATTTGCTGCACAAGGGCCGCCTCACATTTCAGTTGATACGATATTTGAGTATTGCAAAATATGTTCATAAAGGAGAACTACTTACAAGGTTGCTGAAAACTCTTCGGCAGCCTTATTGTTTGTTATTCGTCTCACGCTTGTATCGTGTAAAGCACTACTGCAAGACTGGTGAAGATCAGACCCGAAATTTTTTTGGATGAGCCGACCGAAGTGGTAAGCAAAGTTATCTTCCTGGCCCCCTGTATATGCCCAGTGGTATAAAGAAAGTCGATATTGCCATTCGATTAAGGAAGACCAGGGCGGCATTTATAGACTGTTTCGAATGTGGAGTCAACGTGACATCAGCTTATCTTTCAAGTGTTGGTTTAACGGTGTCTCAGTTCGCCCCATATTGTACCAGTCAGCTATCTGATGACTACAAACTCACAAAATCTGATAACAAGCATTTGTGCTGTAGACCCTTCCGTGAATTCATTGAAATGGAGTCGATACTCCTTGATAGTTTAACTAGTCCACTGAAGCGACACCAAGTTAACCTCATGTGGTGGTTTAGCTAGCTGAGTGTACCGGCCCGTGATCGAGGTGAAATCTTCGAGGGCAACCGTTGTGTATATTTTTTTCATCGGTGCATTCTATGACCGAAGCTGGCTGCTGATGTTCACCATGACCTTTTCTGGTCGATATTTATGTACATGGGAACTGCACAAAATAATTGGATCATGTCACATTCACCAACAGTTAGCCTCGATGGCATCCAGACTGTGATGCAGTGTCTTGGATTTGTCCTGTCATCTGAAACTTCTGTGAATGCATCGATCGGTAGATGAAAACTACCGTCTGGGATTTGCGGCTAAGACAACAGTAAATAAAACTGAGGTATGCGTATTATGAAGCAAAGAATTGATTACCAACGTTTGAAAAGAACATTCCAGCGAATACCATGAGTTCACTCCGGGTTTTGTGCTTTGCCCGCATTAATGCTTCTTATATGGTTGCAAAACTCTGAAACTGAAAATAGTGCCAGAAATCCAAATTGCAATTTCAGGGTCAAGTTGATCAGAATTGAGACACTGAGCATGTGTTTGTGAACATGGCCCTAAAAAATAAAACAAACCAATTCGAGAATTTCTTAGCTCAAGCTTTCAAGGAAACTTAGGTAAATGCAGTCTCCATGTGGACAGATAATAAGTAGGCAAAGTATCAGACTGATTTATTCCTAATTGGCTTTGTGGTTGGCCAGGAGATTACTCGAGGGAACTCGTTCCCGTCAACCACTGGAAAAATCACTTTCGGCGGCATTTTGTCTTGAGATCAACAAGTTTCAGTATTCCGAATTAAGCCATTTTTTATTCATAGCCAAAGTGTTACCAAATTGCTCGATAAAAGTAAATAGGATGTGACCATTGGTGTGTCCGATGAGCTGAGCGATTTCACTGCAGCTGTTCGTCAGTGTATCTTGATTTGTTGTTTATAGTTGTTCAGTCACTGTCACGAAGAGACTGATGTAATGGTTTGCGCATCTCCGCAGTCAGTTGAGCTATATTGGGGTGTGTACGTGCGACACTAACGGAACCTCTCATACTAGGTTGGTCAATGATTGGCGGTCTGACTAACAGTTTCCTGATCCTTTGGGTTGGGGTTGGAACGTGTGTGGCGCATCGCTCTGACGACCTTACCCCAACAGCTGGTTCGTTGCGGCTAGGATTTTGAGCCAATGGCTTTGGCTTAGGACCCTAATCGTCCCCCTTTTCTAGGTCTGGGTACCTTGGCAGTGTCCCAGCCCGCGTACAACTATGAACTGTACAGTTACAACTAATTTGATGCCACATAGACCGTCACGTGTCATCAGTCGGGTCGCCTTACTTGCTGCAAGTAGCAAGGTGGATAAACGAAAACAGGCTACTTCGGAATCCTCACTTCTTTGTCTTTCAAACGTTCGTTTTGCTTCCACTCAACCTTTTTCTAGCGGCATTTTCTTAGGCCATTCTCAAGGGCCCCTTGTCGCTGGTTGCACATTATTGACAGTTGACTTAGCCACCACGACCAGTCTTAAAGCGCCAGCGCTTGGTTCATGTGAGATCTTTTATTGTCCCACTTTGAAACAATGTGAACAACAGGCTGTTGTGGCGTATACGATGGACTCGCCTCCTATTGATTTACTGTCTATCTGAAACGAGGATCCAAGTGTGTGATCTCCCCAGCGACTTCCGCTCGGTTTTGGTTGCGCATCCTCGCTAACGCATATGCCACCGTATCTGGTTCTGTTGTTCTAAACCACCGATTTGAATCCTCTTTACTTGAACTGTAGTCCGCTGGTGATCACTTTTGTGTGGCAACGTCTCTGAGACTATCCCATGAAGACACCGATAATCGCCGTCTGTTCGCAGTATCTGCTTTCACGACCCAATATTCTATAGCTCCGATACTCCCAAAGGCAGTTTTTATGACGTTTTGAGTGCCTTCTTGCGGTGAGCTAAGGGTTGGGGATATTGTTGTCGTTCCCGGGACACGAATGCGCAAGTAGGTTGACTTGGTGCTGCTTAGGTTCATTTGAGTGCTCGTCTTAAATTGGAATCACAACGGACAATGCTAATAGCCTGCTGAATTTATATGCTGACTACAGACTGTTTATTTGCAATACTCACTTTCGGAACAGTCGAAGCCGCTATAAGTGGAGCTGGTCAGTTGTTGATTATTGCTCGTTCGGGAAGGTTTATGTGGATTCGGATCACTCATTTGTTCGATCCTGCTTCCCGTTGTGTTTTTCAGGGGTCCGCAAGATGCGCATACTTCGCCTGGTAATTAAGAAGCTCTTGAATCCTAATGTAGAACAAGTTTACGAAAACCTTCTACTGAAGTGCCTTTGGATAACACGTCTTCTGATGTTGACTCTTACAGGAGGGTAGGTCCGGCACCGACTACAGACTGTTTATTTGCAATACTCACTTTCGGAACAGTCGAAGCCGCTATAAGTGGAGCTGGTCAGTTGTTGATTATTGCTCGTTCGGGAAGGTTTATGTGGATTCGGATCACTCATTTGTTCGATCCTGCTTCCCGTTGTGTTT